GTAAGTCCTTTCAAATGTATTGGTGGTTTAATTTTATTTTATTTTACTCCACGAATTAGAAGTGTTTTCAATCATTTTCTATAATTTTGGTTTTGAACGATAAACTAAATTCTCTTAATGAAGTAGATCATAAAGCCAAAACAAACTTTAAGACCCAACTATACACGTAATAAAAGTTTATGATTTCGACCAACAAGATAAGCACCACTAAAGCACTATCAATTGGTTAATATATTTTCAATTTACCATAATAGGAAGAACATCCGCAATTTGTGAGTAGTCTTCGAAAATTTTGGCCTCTGCAATTCCGGCATTATTCACCAAGTGATCCACTGCTACCACCACAGTCGAGAACAACATTCTTATATTGTTTTTCTTTGTTAGTTATTTAAGAAAGAAGCAATATTAATTATTCGAATCGCCACTAACTCACATCTTCCAAATCTCGAGATGGTTTCTTGAACGAAACCTTTACAGTCTTCAATGACTGAGACATCACCACGTATCACGGCCACGTCCGGTGATCCAAGCTTCCTGCACCGGTCAGCCACCACCCGGAGACGATCCTCTCTCCGAGCAACTAATGTCAAGTATGCTCCTCTACGCGCATACTCATAAGCAAGGTGCTATATCATAAAGTCAAATTGAACATGTTTTGCCGTTAACCATCAACCAAAATAACTAAAGTATGTTTTGCTTTGATTACACGGATCAGTAAGTTTTTTGTTTCTTTTCAACCAAAAAGTTCCATTTGAATCTTTTCGGATCGGGACCAAACCATGTTAGTTTAATCCCTTCTTCGTCTGTTAGTATGAATTCGAACTCATGATCTTCACATCTCTCCCATTTTAGGGTAAACTACTGAAACCAGGTTGGATAAAAAAAAAAAACTGAACATACGAGCAAGAACTAACTAACCTCGCCGATTCCTGAAGAGGATCCTGTGATTATGACGACTTTTCCGTTGACTTTCTCAGACTCTTTGCATCTCCTTACGAAGCCAATGAGCTTGAAGAGTAATGAAACCGGCATGAAAACTAAAAGAAATGAAACCGTGACAATAGGAAGAACAGTGTTAAGGATCTTGTTGATAAAAGCCATATCCTTGAGCTTGAACTTGTGTTTCTCCTTCACCACAGCCTGCCTAATTGTAATTTATAAACAAATTGAGTTTTGTTCTGTTTACATGTCATTGTCTTCGAATTAATATTTTAGAATTAAGGAGGGAAAACTAAAAAGAATCTCTAAATCTTAGTTTGGTATCTTTTACGATGCTCAAAACTTGTCCTCACTCCAACTTATATTTATCAAAACAAATACAAAAAAATCCATGTCTGATATTTATTTGACTTCGTCGCAAGTGATAGAAATTTTGAGCAGCGTATCGGTAGAAAAGGTTTATAATTCCAACTTCATAATATCATGTCAAAAGAGCATGTTAATAGCAGGATTAGAACACAGAGACAATAAAATTTTAGATCGTATTTTCGACATGGCAATGCCGAACCAAGTTGCTAAGTACAAAAGACAAGGAACCAAGTTCTTCTAGGGACTCTGAAGTCATCATCAACAAGAAACTTAACTACTACAGCACCTTTAAAGCAAAGTGCTTAGAAAGTCAAGGCTTGTTGGATATGTCTTCGATTATACCTTTCCCATCCTCTGCATCAAAGTAGAAGAAGTTCTTCAACGGCTCTCCTTTACCTGATACCGCTTTTATCACCTCCTGTATGTTCAACAAGCTTTCTATAAATCACAAAGCTCTGCTAAACAAGTGGTAACTATATGCACAACAAAGTCCTCAAGACATTCAAATGTATGAAGAGTAAGATAGACAACCTGTCCTAGAATCCCTCCAATGATGGCACAAGCTGGTGGGAATTCTGAATTACCAGCGACTAGTCTCTCCAAGAGGCTATCTGGAATATGATTCTCGCTTACCGACTGTTGCAACATTTAGATTCAAACTTGAGTGTCTGCTCTTTGTTATTATGACTACAGACATTAAAAATAAGGGTTAAAGAAACTTACATTTCCCTCACAGATTTCTTTTCTGAGTTTCAAGACTCTTGGGAGGTCTGACAGCGAACATTCTCCAGGTGTACGCCCTTCAGTTTCCTCAAATAGTTCTAACACTGTAGACGTGTCACGAAAACAGAATTAGTTACATAGGAAGTAACAAAGATTTCAATTGTTAGCTGTTGTAGCCAGACCTCTCATCGCAAAGTAGAGCTTTGCTGTTCTCCTTGGAATTGGTTTCCATGGTACTGAAACTGCCTCCTGGAGGAAAAAAAGCCATCCAAGAGAATAAATTTCTATTACTTCTCATGCAAAAAGTATGTTCCGGGAAAGCAAGAAGTGAGTTGTTTGTACCTCAAAACTCGGATATGTTAGTTCACATTCCACTGTTTTATCAAGCTTTTTCTGTGGAACGAAGATTGACAATAGAAAAAGAACTTTATTGTTAAGTTAACACACTATATGCCAACAGAAAGGTATATGATATACAACCATCAAAAGAGTAAAACGAGATAAGTACTTTAGTGTAGTTATAATTCTGTAGATCGACAAATATTTCACCACAAGAACCTCTACAATCGACTGTATAGAATGCCACACGTTTCGTTAGCTTCCTACATTTCTCATTTACTGCTTTCTGCATAAGAAAGCATGTTATGTTAAGGGATGCACAGAGCAACAAATCATAAAAATAATTGGAACAATTACAAAAGGAGGAGGTAATCAGTACCTTTGTAGCACGAGAACTGTAGCCAATAACCACAACATCAAACTTCTTGAAAAAATCAATGCCAAGTGTTGACAAATCACCTGAGATTTGGAAACATCGACTCAACAATTACTACAATCGTCTATATATTTATTTGTTCTCACGTTGGAGGACTGAAATGAAGAAACGGGTAACTATGGAAAAAACCTTTTTCTACTGAAACATGGACCATAGGATTAAAGTCCTTGAGTGAATCACAGCAAACCTCAGCTACGGTTTTGCCTAAATAAGCATTTTCATCCGGAAGAATCAAGAAGTTTGCATTGAAGGCTTCTGCTGTTACCAACCGATCATCCAACAGAGTCACACTACCAACTCCTGCCAACACAATGTTCTTGCAAAACTGCCCACCAAAGGAATACCAAGTAAGATGCTACACTCGACTGCAGCACAACTAATAGAGAATCGCTAAACAGAGAGTGAAGACAAAAAGATTGTAAAGTAACAGGTAGGTACCTCAGCAACAGTCCCCTTTATTCCAGATACTAATACATGAGATTTGCTCAATCTGCAAACAAAACACCAACGTCACACTGCATCAAATGGAGCCAAGTTCTCACAGTAGTAGATGCGATTTCATAACTTTGATAAAACATGCTCCACAGAAAATCAAAAACTCATATTTTACTGAATGCGAAACAAGATATGTCTTAACAAATCAACTATATAGATCCATCCCCTTCACACCCAATTGTTTTAAGAGGCTAATCTTTGATACTTTTCAGGATCTTTCCTGAACAGACAATAAATACTCAAGAGTCATAAACCCCTAATCTAATTTGAACTGCTAAATTGAACTACTTCACTTTAAACCCAGAAAAGGGATACAACATGAACCCTCTCTCAAAAAGAGACTGGAAGTAAGAATCGATGGTGGAAAAACAAGAAAGTACTCAAAACGAAGCGACTCATAGCTAATCAACAATGGTTTTGCTCAGCGAAAAAATGTTGAAATGAAAGAAAAAATACCTTCTTTGAGCACCAGCGCCCCAAACCCTAATCTGCCGGTCGTAAAGAGCAGTCTCCTGCTCGGTGAGTTCTTCCCCGTCCATTCCGAAAAGTCAAGCTCAGTAAAGCTGAGATTTTGAAACCCTAGGCAGGCAGCGAGCTCTAAGAGATGATCAAAGCCGCCACTGAGAGATGTATTTTTCGGGTGAGTTTGAGCTAACCGTCAATTTATCCATACCTGGTTTGGTCCGGTCTGTTAACTAAATTCTTTTATATTTTTTTTTAAGGAAAAATCACATTTTTAACCTTCAAAATAACATATACTAGCATTTTAATCGAACAAATGTCTTGCAAGCTCCTCTTGACCAAATCAAAATCTTAGAAGCTTCTCTATTAATTAGATAATCGTTTTTTCTTTTTTTTTTTAAATAGAAAAACTAGCAAATTACGGTAAAACTAGATAAAAGAAACGAAATTACATACCCAACCTATTAAAACGACCCGGCTCACATACATCTGCATCTAATCCGGGTAAAAATCAGATTGAATAAAAAATAGGAGAATCCGCCCCAAATTCTCTTCACCGAAACCCTACCAAAACCAATTATCTCTCTACTCGATTCTCCTTCGTGTTTTTGAAGCTGTTAGAACAAGAAGATAACTACCAAATCCGGGTAAGTTGCGATGGCGAAGACAAATTTTGGAAATCCGAGTAAG